CATTCTTTCTGGCGCTACTAGTACTAGCCCTCTGCTCTTCCCCAGTAGCATAGTTCCCCATTAATGATAGTTGTACATTTTTCCATTTATCCAAATCTACTTCAATTTGTCTTTTCAATTTATGATAATTATCCTCTTTAATTGTTGTACATCTTGCTGTCAGGTGGATCCCTAAATATTTTACCTTCTTTATAATCTGTATATCTAATTTTCTCACCAGTTCTTTTTTTTGTTTTTCAGTAATATTTTTCACTAACATTTTGGTTTTATCTTTATTAATTTTCAACCCAGCTACCTCACCATATTTTTCTATTTGTTCTATTAATACAGGTCCTGTCTCTAATGGTTCCTCCAAAATAAATACTAAATCGTCTGCGAATGCTTGTAGCTTATATTCTTCCCTCTTAATTTTTATCCCTTTTATGTCATTATTCTGTCTTATACGTCTATTTAATACTTCTAATGTCAGAACAAACAACAGTGGAGATAGGGGACAGCCCTGTCTTGTTCCCTGCATAATGTTGATCTTCTCAGTCATATCTCCATTTATCATTACTTTGGCTGATTGCTTATTATAAATTGTTCTGATTACGTTTATAAATTTTTCCCCACAATCCATAGTCTGTAATTGGCTTATCATGAATTGCCAGTTCACATTGTCGAATGCCTTCTGAGCATCCAGGAACACCAATGCCATCTGTTTCTTGGGATGTGTTTCATAATATTCTAGTGTGTTCAATATAATTCGCATATTGTCTCTAATCTGTCTTTTGGGTAAGAAGCCATTTTGATCCGATTGTATAAATTCATTTAAAAACTTTTTAAGTCTTTCCGCCATTATTGATGCAAATATTTTATAGTCCACATTCAGTAGGGAAATCGGCCTGTAGTTCTTTATTTTCTGTGTTTCCGTTTCTTCCTTTGGTATGAGAGTAATAAGAGCTTCGGACCACGAATCTGGTATCTTAGCTTCAGAAAGAAGTTCATTATAAAGTTCCAACATTACATTACCTAGTACTTCCTGCAATGTCTTATATAGCTCTGCTGGTAGTCCATCCGGTCCTGGTGTTTTACCATTTTTTTGTCTGTTGATTGCTTCTATTAATTCCATCATTATTTCCCCTTCTAATAGCTTTTTAAAATTCTCCGGCATTTTAGGTATCTCTGTTTCTTCCAAAAAATGTTTTATCCTATGATCTGAAACTGTTTGTTGCTTGTATAGGTTCTCATAATATTCCCAGATTATTTTTTTCTTTTCTTCATTTCGATGTTGTAAAATCCCCTCAGCATCTTCCAATTGTTTAATCCATCTCTTCTCTTTCTCCTTTTTAATTTTATATGTCAACCATCTCCCTGGTTTGTTTGCATGCTCAAAAAAGGTTTGCTTAGCTGCCTTTATTTTCATTGCCACTTCTTCATTTTCTAGTAAGTTCATTTTATGTTTGTTCAATTCCATTAAATTTTTAATCTTTTTGTTTTGTGTATCTTTCTGTAATTCTTTCTCAAGTGTCTTATATTCTTCCTCCAGTTTTCCCTTATTTTGTCTTTTCTGTTTGTTCTTTTTCCCCAAATAAGTGATAGATAGTCCTCTCATGTATGCTTTCGCCGTATCCCAAACATTTTGAAGTGAAGTATCTTCTTTTTTGTTTTCCTTAAAAAAGAAAAGTACTTCTTTTTTCATATATTGCTGAAAATCCTTTTCATTCAATATAGTTTGGTTTAATGTCCATCTTGTTCTCTTTTTTGTCCTTTCCATATGATTGTAACTGGGTTGTGATCCGCCCATGTGCTTGTTTCTATGGCTATATTTTGTATATTTGTAAATAAATCTGTTGATATCCATGTCATATCAATTCTCGACCAGGACAGGTGTCTGTTAGAATAGAACGTATATTGTTTCTTTTCCGGATATTTCTCTCTCCAAGCATCAAGTATATTTAATTCATCCACCATATTATAGAAGGATTTAGGAAGTGTTCTTCTTACAGTCTTATTTTTTGTTGTTGTATTATAATCCAACTCAGGCTTTACAATAGCATTAAAATCTCCAATCATACATATGCTTTCATATTCCAGTTCTATTATTTTCTTATGTAATTTTAGATAAAAATTCTCTTGATTTTCATTTGGAGCATAAATTGCTACCAATAATGATTTTTTACAGTTCATAATTACTTCTACCATTAAGATTCGTCCTTCTTCATCTGAATATATCAATTTAGTTTGTATTGTTTTCTGAATATATAATGCCACACCTCTTTTACTCTGGTCCGCAAGTGAGGTGTATAATTCTCCCAATTTTGGATATTCTAATAAATTTTTATGTTGTTTCCTAATATGAACTTCTTGTAAATAAATTATGTCCATTTTTAGTTTCCCTAGTTTATTTAGTGTTCTTTTCCTTTTTATGATCAAATTTAATCCATTTATATTTATCGAAATTATTTTTATCTCTTCTTCCATGATTATTTATTTAAGGTTTTAGCTGATCTCATCATTCTCATCTCTCTTTGCTCTTTTGCCTCTTTTGCCCTTACTCCTTCTACCAACGCCCTTTCCTCCTGTTCTTTGCTATACTCACCCTGTTGTTTCTCTATCTGATCTCCTTGATGTCTAATTCCTCTTTCCCTTCTCAGCCTTTCTTCTTCTTGCTGTCCAAAGTAGTGATCATAAAAAAGCTCTGCTTTCTCTAATGTGTCTAGTCTGTGTCTCTGTTCTTGCCAGTTTACCATTACTCCTTCTGGTATTAACCATCTAAAATTTATCCCTTTTTCAATTAAGACTTTTGTCAAAAATTGATATTCCTTTCTCAAGTCTCTCACTCTTCTTGGAATCTGCTTTAATATCACTATCTCTCTTCCTTTATATTTTATTGTGACATTTCTCAGTTTCTGTAATATATCTGTCCTTAATGCTTTTTTAGTAAACCTTATATGGACTTCTCTAGGAAGCTTATTTCTTGTTGCTTATCTAGTATGTATTCTAAATATCTCATCTATATCATTAATTATCTTTTCCTTGTTTTCCTCTAGTGTGTCTGCTAATATTTCGGCCATCACGTCTGCTAAATTCTCTCCCTTTTCTTCAACATTTTGGAATCTTAAGTAATAATCAGCTCTATCCATCTCTAGAGAGATAATCGTTTTTTCCTGGTTCCTATCTGTTAATGTCAGTCGATTGTCCATCTCCTCTACTCTCTTATCCATTAATTCAATTTTCCCTTCCACTTGTTGCAGTCTTTGTTCACTTTTCCCCATTAATTCTTTGACCTCTTTTAATTCCTCTTCTAATTTACCTAGCCCTTCCTTAAAGTCTGAATGTAATGCCTGTATCATATTTTTCAGTTACATATTAGATTTATCTTGTTGTATTGTAGAGTCCAGTGTTTTCTGCACCACCGGACTCTATAGTGTTGAGGGGGCTGTTGTTAGATGTGTTGTGATCTTCTTCATCTTATCCAATGATTTATAATCCAAATGTCAGTGTGCTATTATAATCCCAAAATGTTCCAAGAAGAGGAGGAAAGAAACAAAAATAGGAAAAAAATCCCATCTCAAACGTCCAAGGGCAGGAAAAAGTCCAATTTACACTTCTTTATTTCAGGCGCTTCATGCCTTAATCCGAAAAAAAGAAGGAGATCGAAAATAAAACCTCCATAAGGCAATCCACCAGTCTCCAAAACAAGAAACAGTTTCTGTGTTAAATGCAATTAATGTCTCACTTCTTATCAGTGAGCCCAGCAGATGTTGTTCAGGGTCACTTAGTCTTCTGCTTTAGAAGAAGGAAGCTGAAGAAAAAGAAGCAACCCACTTAAAGGAAAAAAGCAAACAGTTTACTTTTACAGTTGTTTACTCTCAAATAGTTCTATTAGTCCAATTGTTTTCAGTAGGCTTTTTAAATTCCACAGTCTTTACATTGATTTATTGATTTATTGCCTTCCGCTTTTTTGCCCCTGAAATTCCAGAGGAGGAACAGAAGCAGCTTAAGGGTCTGCTCCCCCTCCCTTTTCTCCACAGCTTCAAATTCTTCTAATTCCACCCCTCAGCATTTCCAGCATTTAAGAGAGAAAGTTTTCCTCCTTTTAACAATCTCTTGATCAGCTCACCCAGGCGATTCTCCAATTTTCTTTCTGATTCTTGGAAGCAAACGCCTGGCTTGTGACAGCTCGCAATGGCTGTCTGAGAGCTGCTGGTCTGGGAAGCTTCCGTTCAGCTCTTCAGGAGATTGCAAACTCTCCTGTGCTGCCAAACTATCCTTCCCTTCTTCACTGACCCTACAGGACAGCTCTGGTCTGTCTAGGACTAGGCAGACCTCCCCAAACAGCTGGAAAGCGACGATTCTTAGGGAGCCCCCAAGGAATATGTCGTGCCGCCGAGACGTTCACTCCTCCACCCGATGTTGACTCCCATCCTGATTGCCATCTGCGGGTCAGCGGGGAGTGGGGGCTTCTGAAACAGTATCTGCTGTCTCAACAGATGTCCCCGGGGCTACAGTTTCTGATTCCCCCTCAGTGTCTCTCTGGTTGCAGCCCAAGGTATTGGTGCAGCCGTGGGGTTCAGGTTTCTCCTCCATGAGAGAGCTGAGGGTTCTTTTCATCAGGTCAATAGCTTTCTTTAGGACCCAGTTCGAGTGCTGTGCATGATTTCCTTCCCCTTCGCTATGGTGCAGGGATTTCTCCATCTCTTGCTTCCATCTGGGTTGGTGGCTGCCCCACCTCAGGGTCACCTTCCTCAATTTCTTTTCCCACTCCTCTTTCCTGCCAATGCCCATCAACCACAGAGGTTTGTGGCCGCGCGTTTCCACCACTACTTCTTCTGAGGAGTATGACATCTCAGATCCTGAGAGCTGGTAGGGTCCCTGATGGCTCCCTTTTCACAGTGGGTTCTTCTTTCCCTGCCCTGTCATCCAACATTGTAGATTTTGCAAAGTCCCCCGGTAAGGGTCTTCCTTCCAGGTTGACTATTACTGCAGATCCTGTCTAATGTAAGGACCCACTTCAACCTCACTTCTTAAGAAAGCAGAACTCTTGGAGACAATTTCTTCCAACAGAAACTTTTATTAAGAGTAGTTGATAGCAGGTATAATAGACAGGATTTGAGATTTCCCACGCAGAGTGATAGATTAAGGTATCCCCAACTTAGACCCCACCCCATAGCCCACCTGTCCTGTATGGGATGGCCAGTTCCCAGGTGTTTAAGTCCATTGTGGGAAAAAGGGAGATAACATTGGCCCATCTCCAGTTCACGCAGCGATGGTCAGCGGCTTCTTCACACCTTCCTCTGAGAGTTTAGAAATAAACCAGGCACTGGGTTACATTCCTTATTTCCTCCCTTGTTCTAATTGACAGTTTGGGAAAATAAAGTTCAGAGAAAGACATAGCGCAGGAAGCAATTTGTTACATTTTAGTGGACACAGAGGCAATAAACGAAGCAAAAGTTTACATTGTAGCAAATAGAGGAAGCAAAAGCAATAACCCCGCAGACACATCCCCCCCTCCCCCTTGGGAGTATGGCAGAACCCAGGGAAAAGGGAGATTTGGTTTTAAGTCAGAGGGGATAGATAGAAATGAAATAGAAATGGGTTCTGACACATTCCTACAAAATGTAAAAGGGCAATTATTATTCTTTCCTCTCCCTGGGAGAAATCTAGACCTACAGCATGCAACTAAAATTTATATGATAAATTAATATGTTTGGTATGTATGTAGCTTTTTTATTTTTTATTGTTTTATCATAGAGAATAAAATACAAAACAATAAAACAAACAAAATGAAACAAAACAAAAGCATACAATCAACCCTAACAACAACAAAGAATAGTGTACAAAAAAAGAAAAAGTGATAAATTTAACATTTACATTTAACATGTAGGATCCACTCTGGCTGGGTGCTGAAAGTGTTTGGTAAGTACAATCCTTGCAGTCATCACCATGTGAAGGAACAGCACTCCAGTTTGTTTTTCAATTGGCTTGTCCATCATACCTAAAAGAAAAGGTTCAGTTTTCATTAAGATTTGTATCTTAAATATTTTTGCATTGTCATTGTTATGTTTATCCAGTATGTTTTCATATATTTGCAAGACCACCGCATATGATAAAATGAACTTGGATTTTGATTACATTTCCAGCACTTATTAGAAATCTCTTTATACATTTTTGCTAGTCTATCTGGGGTCCAGTAACAATGATACATCATTTTGTAAAAGTTTTCTTTCAGACTATAATTTAATGTGAATATTAATCCATTTGTCCATACATTCTCCCATTTATCTAGCATTATATTATACCCAAAAAAATTTGCCCATTTTACCAAACACTCTTTAAAGTATTCATTTTTTAGGTTCATTTTAAGTAACATTTTATATACTTTAGAAATCAAGTGGTCATTTCCAGAACATAAATTAACATCCAATTCAGATTTAGTTCCTGTGAAAACAAAACTTTTTTTTATCAAATTTAAATCTTTCAAAAATTCTATAATTAAACCAATCACAAGCATTTCCTTCACTTACTAATTGTTTTCTTGTCTTTATCTTAAATCCTTTTTGAATATTAATAAGTCTCCATATGTCACCCATTTACATTCTGAAATCATCTCTGTTCTATTCATGCCTAATAGCTAATAGCATGAATCTTAAAACCAGGGTTCACTTTTACTTTGTCATATCACAGATAGGCATGTCCCCCAAATCTCAAATCAAAACCTTTGAGGTTTAACAGCCTTGAATTTTTTAAAGTTATCCAATCTTTTAACCATACCAGACAACAAGCATTATAATATAATCTAAGATCCAGCAAACCCAGACCTCTTCTATCTTTAGAATCTTGTAGCAGACAGCTTATATTTAATTCTTGGTTTTTCATTTTGCCAAATAAATTTAGATATATATTTCTGCCACTGTTTGAAAGTGGAATTTCTAATCAATATTGGTATAGTCTGAAATAAAAATAACATTCTAAGTCAGTGATGGCAAACCTTTTAGAGACCGAGTGCTCCAAAATTGCCCCCATCCCCATCCCAACTCCAGCCTGCCTGCTAGGCCACCCACCACCTCCACGGCCCACCACAGATCACCCAGGCAGCCCAGCAGCACCATGGTGGCCACACCCTCCAACTATGCCCCGCAGCATCATCTGCATGTGATGGAGTGCAAGGGCAGAGTCTTGTCCCTGCTGCCTGGCTACCATGTCCTTGACTGCGCTGCTTCGCGTGGGCCACGCCCGGGGGTGACTCTCCTCTGGGGGGGCTGCTGGTGAGGAGGGGGCTGTGGGAGGAGGCGGGGCTGGGACAACAGTGCATGTGCCCACAGAGAGGGCTCCAAGTGCCACCTCTGGCATGTGTGCCATAGGTTCACCAACACTGTTCTAAGTAGTACATTCATTTTAATTACTGAATTTTTTCCCATTAATGACAAATCTAATTTTTGCCATCTATTTAAATCCAGTTTTATCTCCTTTTATATTTTACCATAATTATTTTTGTAAAGCTTAAAATTTTCCTCAGTGAGAGTCACCCCAAGTACTGTACCTTTTTCACAACTTTAAAACCAGGTTTAAAGTCCAATTTCTTCTGACCTTCCACTTTTATGTTCTTAGTCAGTATTGTCGTCTTTTATTTATTCTAAACCCATTTCTCCAAGCACTTTAATCATCCTCATAGCATGTTCAATGTTCTCTCGTTGGTCTTGCACAATCAATACCAAATCATCAGCAAATGCACGTAATTTGTAATTATGTGCTTTAATTTGTAGTCCTTTTGCTCTGTTCCAACACTAGAATAAATAATAAAGCAGATAAAAGACACCCCTGTCTTGTTCCCTTCTGGATTTCACATGGTTTTGTAAAGTCTCCATTCATCATGATTCGAGTTTTCTGGAGTGTATAGATGGACTTCAGACCCTGTAAAAAGCCCAATCCAAAATCCATCTTTTCCACTACTTTAAACATAAAGGTCCAGTTCAAGTTATCAAAAAAATTTTCTGCATCCAGAAAGACTAATGCAACCTGTTTGTCACTACGTTGTTGTAAATATTCAATTATATTCAAAATTATCCTAATCTTTTAATTGTCTATCAGGTAATAAAGCACACTGGTCTTCATGTATATAATCCTGTAAAAGTTTTTAAAGTCTTTCAGCTAAAATAGATATGAAGAGTTTGTAGTCATTATTAAGGAGAGAAATTGCCTGTAGTTTTTCACAGAATTAAATCCAGTCCATCTTTGGGTATTAAAGAAATGTAGGCATTCTTCCAAGAGTCTGGTATAGGATTTCCCTGTAAGATAGAATTCATTAAGTCCTTCATTGGAAGAAGTAGTTGATCTTCAAAAATTTTATAGAGTCTGCTCGGTAGGCCATCTGGTCCCAGAGCTTTGCCTGTCATCTGCAAATTTGATGATTTCCCCATCTATTCCCTCATCTAAGTCATTTATGAAGATATTGAAGATTACTGGGCCTAAGATGGAGCCTTGTGGTACCTCACTGCTTACTTCTCAATGTAGTACCATTGAGGACTACTCTAAAAGAAAAACTAAGCAGCTGGCAGGAGAAATAGTGTTGATATACAAATTCAAAGAGTAGATGGGGAAAAAAGAGGTTTGTAAGTGAAGGGATTTTATTATGCTTAAGGTTGATATTGGTTGATATTCTTTGGTAGAAGGAAGGACCATGGGACCAATACTTTAAGGAACAAATGGGAATTGTGTTTATAACAAGGCTATGTATTCTACTTGCAATAGGGGCAATAGGGTCACTTGTTATGCTCCTGTCAATACAGTACAGCTTTACCAACAACTTTAAATCTGGACATATGGAGGAACATACAGACATTACCTTTTGGGGAAGAATAACACAAGATTTATGGACAAGTGTCAGAATCTTTTCTGATGCATGAAAAGCTATTGACTATAATCAAGCTAAATGTACTAAGTGTGGAGACAGGCCTACTCACTAAATGCCAAATATGTTTGCACATCCTACCCAACCTGGCACATTCAAAGGATTCTTGCAACCTGGTGTGCTTAAAGATAACCAGACCAATGGATTTTTCAGCATCATTTGAATTCGCTATCAATTGAACCAGATACAAATATGGGTTCAAGTTGATTTTCATGAACTGGAAACCACAATTGAGATTCCCTCAGTATCAAAGACTTATTATTATTATGGATCATCGCACAGTCAGCCAGATGTTCAGACTGGATTTGGCATTTTGTCTACCTATCGAGTCCTTACCCAGGACCTGGGATAGGCAGATGTGGATGTTTGATGGTATTACAGATATCGTCGCAGGATGGAAGCAGTTCCTAGTAAGGCTGCCTTTTGCAATTGACTAATAGCGAATTTGTCAATGCCAATGGTGTTCAAGTGGTGCTCCAGTTGTTTTGGGATTGCACCCAAGGAGCCTATTACTATTGGTACTACCCTTGCTTGTTTTTGCCACAGTCTTTCTATTTCTATTTGTAGGTCTTTGTATTTTGTTATCTTCTCCAGTTCTTTCTCGTCTATTCTGCTGTCTCCAGGCACTGCCACGTCCACTATCCAGACTTTTTTGTCTTTCTTATCGACAATTGTTAAGTCTGGGGTGTTATGTTGCAGGTGCTTGTCTGTTTGAATTCTGAAGTCCCAGAGCAGTTTAATTTTATCATTTTCTATGACTTTCTCTATTTTATGATCCCACCAGTTTTTGCTTACAGGCAAATGATATTTTTTGCAGATCTTCCAATGCACCATTGTTGCTACTTTGTCATGCCGCTGCTTGTAGTCATTATTATTATTATTATTATTATTATTATTATTATTATTATTATTATTAATATTAATATTAATATTATTATTATTATTCTGGCCCAAAAGAATTGTTTCATTTTTAAATGTGAAGCTTGAGAGAACATCACTTCTTATTTTAATTTGACTTGGAAAGAAAAGGACTGTCCAACCAAATGGGCCCTCTATTTCATCATTGTGCCCTAAATTGTATTATTAGATCCCAGTCCGACATTACAAATAAGGAATATGTCAAAGAAATCACTGACAGAATGCGAAAGTTGGCTCATGTCCCTGTCCAGACATGGGCAGAAGCATTGTATGTTGGAAGTTGGTTTTGGGGAATGGTTGATAATTGGAAAAGGATACTGTTCATTGTAGTTTTGGCCTTAGGAGGGTTGTTGTGTTTATCATGCCTTATCCCGCTTATTTAGAGAATTATTAGATCTACTATATCCGGACCAACTTTTGCTGCCACTCCTATCTATAACGATAAGCCAGCTAAAGCAATGATTTTGAAACCTTTACCTTCTGACTATATTCCCCCTTTCAAGAGTCCCTAAGCCTATTTGGCTTTTATATTAAAAAGGGAGGAATGAAGGGATTTTATTATGCTTAAGCTTGATATTAGTAATAGTGATATTAATAATGATATTTTGTAATCAGTGTGTGTGTGTGTGTGTGTGTGTGTGTCTGTGTGTGTCTGTGTGTGTCTGAGGTTTTCGCGGGTGTTTGAAGATGAGGCACGACCACGAACGCGAAGCCAAAAAATAGCAAGGCAGCCCACCATCTTAAACCCCCCTGCAACTCAGACTAACCTGAGCACAACAAAGCCCCCACCCAAACAGAACACTCCCTCAGCCTATCAGAGCACAGCCAACCGCCCAGCCAATCAGAGCACAGCCAAGCCCCTAACCAATCAGAACACACCTCCACCCAATCAGAACACTGCCAAGCTCCCACCCAATCAGTTCATACCCCCACTGGCAGTTAAAAGGAAGAAACAGCTAAGACCACACATTGCTGCCCAAAGGGTGATAAGAACGAATGTGCTGGAATATGAGGGTCGAGGTAGGACCCCTAGTGTGGAGCATTGTGACAACGAAAATACAAATGATTGTGATGTGTGCCAGAGGGGTGGAAGAGAAAAATAACCCGAAGAGCACAGGAAAAAGAATCGATCTAGGAATGTGAAGGACACTCTGACTTGGGGAAGTAAA